ATAGCTAGCTAGCTATAGCTGAAAATAGCTAAAATAGCTAAAATAGCTGACTGAGCATTTTCAACGGAAATGTCACTATTCCGACTGTTTTCTCGGATTTTGTGCCGTTTTCCACAGTTTACCGGGATTTTTCAGGCAGATGATCAGCATGAGGTTCACCGTGCTACCCCCCCCCCCTTCATCGGGCTTCCCCCCTGTAGACTACTGCACAGTAGGACTGGACCTGGGTCTGGCTTGCTGCACTCTGGCAGTCTCTGCTAACAATGCTGGTAGACTTGTATCGTAGTGCCTGGGGGGAAACCCGACGCACCACAAACAATCCTTTTCATTTCCGGGTCCATTTCTCGCATCGGAGCTGATCGCGAGCAGGAATTCGAAAAACGTCTGCCACGTGGAGTCACGGTGGACCAGCCAAGAAATGTCACCAGCCAGGGATCGATTCCTGTCCTTCCCACTGCAAACCTGTGGTTTCCAAGCCCGGTGCCTGCATCTTGTAAGGACCCCCGAACCACGCACATACTGGATGGTCCCTGGTCTCTTTTTCACGGATCTCTTCATCAGAGCTCATCGCGAGCAAAAAGTCGTCGAAAAAGGTCTGCTGCGTGAACCAGTAACATAATGCCACCACCAGGGGATCGATACCCGTCCTGCTCAATGCACACCGGGTGGTTTCCAAGCCCGGTGCTCTGCATCTTGTAAGAACCCACGGACCACGCACATACTGGATGGTCCCTGGTCTATTTTTCACGGATCTCTTCATCGAAGCTGATCGCGAGCAAAAAGTCGTCGAAAAAGGTCTGCTGCGTGAACCAGCAACATAATGCCACCACCAGGGGATCGATACCCGTCCTGCTCAATGCACACCGGGTGGTCTCCAAGCCCGGTGCTCTGCATCCTGTAAGAACCCACGGACCACGCACGCAGTGTTTGATTCCCGGGTCTATTTTTCACGGATCTCTTCATCGAAGCTGATCGCGAGCAAAACTTTGTCGACAAAGGTCTGCTACGCGGACCAGCAACAGAATGCCACCAGCCAGGGGATCGATACCGTCCGTGTTCAATGCACACCTGATCAGGCTGGTGGTTTCTACGCCCGGTGCCCTGCAAATTGTAAAAACTACTGACCACGCACATAGTTTTCTGTCTCCGGGTCTATTTTTCACGGATCTCTTCATCGGAGCTGTTCGCAAGCAAAAATTCGTCGGAAAAGGTCTGCTATGTGGACCAGCGGGAAAATGTCGCCAACCAGGGGATCGAAACCCGTTCTTCCCAGTGCACACCGGTGGTTTCCACGCCCGGTGCCCTGCATCTTGCACGGACCCACGAACAATGCACATACTTTTTCGTTTCCGGGTCTATTTTTCACAGTTCTTTTCATCGGAGCTGATTGCGAGCAAAAATTCGTCGAAAAAGGTCAGCTACATGGACCAGCGGGAAAAAGTTACCAACCACAGGGTTCGGGACGTGGATCCACGTGGAAATGGAAATCGTGGAAATGGAAATCGTGGAAATTTCCACGGATTTCCACGTTCCACTGCCGCGCCGGTGAATTTATCAATTCCGCCAGTTGGGGTTTTTTGACGACTTGCCCGACTGTGGAGACACATTCTCAACCACTATTTTGACCTTCTGGGGCTCAACCCAAGGTTCACCTTTTTCTCGGTATCTGCAGGTTAGCCCTCGGAGAAAAAAAAGAACGGAAGACAAAGAGTCCGGCCGCGGTACCGGGAACCCACAGGGTAGAATAACAGCGGAACATGGGTGATAGAAAAAGGTAGACTCGACATCATCAAAACGATGGTGGCCAACGGTGCCAAGCAGCACCCCCCAAGCAAGAAGAAGACGAGATGGGGTTGAGAGCGGAAATTGGAAAAGAAAATGGAATCATGATGGATTCGCTGAATTAGAATCAGAAAAGACTCCGGATACATTCGTCGTTCTCGCTGTCAGTGTCACTCTCCGGAATACCGGGAATATCCAACTGCAGCACCTCTGTGAGAGTTGTGCTTCTGGTTTCGGCAACGAGAGCCTCACTTGCTTCAAGGTCGACCTCGTTGAGGCCATCAAGTGTCTCATCCTGAGACTCAGTATCGAGGGAATCACAGGTAGGTCCCGGGCTCGGGATGGAAGGCTCATCAGTCGGGCCTGTTCGCAGCGCAGTTGCAAGCGTAGCCTGTGCTCGCTGTGTGCGCTTCTCGGCCCGCACCTCTTGGTTAGACTCTGGATAGAGCTCACTGTTCAGCAACCTATGGTTGATGGCAAGTGTGAGGGACGCGTTCACGTTCTCAACCGAGAGCTTTGCCCTCAGTTTTCCAATAACGGCAGACAGAGTTTTGAAGTGCCGCTCGACAGCGGCTTCGCTGGTCGTTGCTCTTCCCAGCGTTCTTGCAAACAGACTGAGAAACTCGCTCTCGTCACGCATGGCCAACTCATGATTGGTCCAGAAGTGTACATACCCGTGCTTGATCGGGTGTCCGTGCTGGTCTCGAGGCCTGTTCCGGAACTCACTGTACGCTGCCTTGGACTGCATTAGGAAAGATCCCAATGCCCGGCTGTCGGGTATTCTTCGGGCAATAAAAGGTGACAGATGCCGAGAGAGCAGCTTCCATCGCTTTGCTCTCACTGCACTTGTCACCTCGTCGGCCGTCTGATCGACGTTCGGATGCAGTAATTTTAGCACGTCGAGTGCTGGGAAAGAAAAGTTCCGTTTGACCCTGTAGGACCATTTCTCAATGGCTCTGTTGATTACGCTAAGTTCACTCGGGCACTGTGAGTAGCGAGCTTTGAGACGTGCCAGGTCCAACGCAATACCGTCGATAATCTCGTGGAGCTCGAGAAGACCGTTTCCGGAGTTCTTCTGTAGCTTGTCGGTTGCAATTGCGAAGGGGGCCAGGGCATGCAAAAAAAAGGAGAGCTGGCGGCGGAACGTTGCAGTAACGTCGGGAAGGTATGTGGAGTCCTTGTCATAGACACGCGCAATGCTCAGCGCAGTGTCGTAGACACTGTTCCAACGCACTGCAGTTGGATACCTGACGCCAACAGGGTTTCTTTCGCCGGCGTTGATCTGTTTTTGCCGCAAATCATACTTTTCCGAGGGCTTTCTGTACTTTGCTGCGAGCTGTATTACTGAGGTGCTAATTTCGTTCATGTATTCATGCTTAGCGATGTCGCCAATGCAGAGCTGCATGCTGTGGCATGCACATCGGAAAGCAAAAATTCCTTTTTTTTTGGCGGCATTCAATGCCACGCTCAGGAGCTCATCGACAGCTTTCTCGGCCTCCTCGGTAGCATCAACAGTTTCGCTGTCGTTGCTTTCAGCATCAGCGCCTCTTGCAGTCACATTGAACTTGCGGGCGACAGAACACAAGTCGGTCATGGCTTTTTGCATAGCCGAAGCGTTGTCCGCCACCATAGCAAACACGTTCAAGTTTGCTTTGGCGCGTAGGTGTTCGACCACCTCGTCGACTTCCCGTTCGATGCTGGCTGCTGTCATGCAACGCACCTCGGCGCTCTTCAGGAAGTAGGTCGCCTTCCCGTTGCTGACAGCAAACCCGAGGAAAAGTCGACCCCGGACTGTGGCACCGTCGAGTAACAGGAACACGTCGGCACCCGCGTTGTTCCGGTAGAACAGCTCTTCCGTGTCCTGTGCGAATTGCCCAATTTCATGGACCATCTCCTTCGTCCACAGCCGCTGCCGCGCCAACTCGACCGGGTTCAAGATGGAGCGGAAGAGGGCCGAGTCCATCACAGAGAACGGCAGGCACTGCTCGACGACAAAAAGGCCCACCCGTCTGACGAACGGGACAACACTCCAGCGAGAAGCCGAGCCAGACGGCGAATAGGCTGAGCCCGAGGCCGCAGTTGAGACTTTCGAGCGAGGAGAATCAGGCCCGTGTAAGGCCAGCCAATGCTTCTTGATGCTGGCTTTGGCAATCTCCTTTTGGCAAGCGTTGCACTTGACAACCTTGGCGCCGCTTGGCTTGCTGTACACCGGCCCGCATAAGTAGCCGATTCCGTCGCCACTGGCAATAGCGGGACTGTACTCAGTAGTGAACTCAACGACTGCCGGGAGCGGTTCTGGGCGGCGCAGGGCCGTTGACGGAGGAGGGGTCTGCGGGTCTGTCAGTGGGGGGGTTGGAGGAGGATGCGATGGTTCTGCAGTTCGGGTGCTCGTGTCGGTGTTTGCGGCTTGAGTCTCGGCCCTTGCCCCAGGCTCACTCCGAGCTGCAGCAGGCGGCTGTGGCTGGGCGAGCAGCTCGCGGATGCGCGAACGCAGTTTCGACGTCTTGTTTGCAAAGGATTCGGCAGTTTCGTTTACGAAGATGGCGAAGCTGTGGTTCTTCGCAAAGCACGCCCCGCACACGTCCATGCCACAGCTGTGTCCTCTGCCCTGAGGGCAGGAGAACCGTGGTCCTCTGGCTCTCCCACAGGCGTCGCACTCCCAGGAGGGCTCGTGCCCTCGCTGACTCAGCAGTTCCTCCTGTGTCAGCTGCTTCATCAGCTTACCGCATAGACACTTCATCGGGACTTCGTCGTCGGATTCCTCACTAGCCTCATCCACCGCCACTTTCCTCCTTTTCGTGCTCCGTTTGTTGTCGCTGTCGCGCTTGCGCGAGTTGCGGGCTCGCTCATGCTGGCTGGCACTCGTTTTCGTCATTTTATTACGGGTGCAACAGGAAATGTAGAAACCTTGTGTTGGAAATGCTCCGTGTGTAAAACTAACTCACAACCGAGAAAAAGGTGAACCATGGGTTTTGAGCCCCAGAAGGTCAAAATGGTGGTTGAAAATGTGTCTCCACAGTCGGGCAAGTCGTCAAAAAACCCCAACTGGCGGAATTGATAAATTCACCGGCGCGGCAGTGGAACGTGGAAATCCGTGGAAATTTCCACGATTTCCATTTCCACGATTTCCATTTCCACGTGGATCCACGTCCCGAACCCTGTGCATTATGGGGATTTTAAAATTTGCCGTGTGTATTAGAGGTAAAAGCCCAAAAAAGTTCCGCCTCCGGGGTTCGAACCCGGGTCGCCTGGGTGAAAGCCAGGTATACTAACCACTGTACTAAAGCGGACGCCAAGGCCCTTTTTTTTTTTTTTTTTTGCAAGAGGCACCACATTCTTTTGGCAGCTCCGGAGAGCCGCGTTCCAGTTTTCGGGCAGGCTTTACGGGCCTCTTCGGGCCGGAAGGCATGCCAGAGAGACACAAGACACATGCAAGAGTGGGAAGGGCTATGGTACAAGGGGGGGGGATAACTGTGTGTGGGTGTCCAGTATCTGAGCCTTTCACACAAACCAGCCAGGTGGCGGTTGAGTGAGGTCAGGTGGAAGACCCGGGAGACCTCTCTGGCTTCTTTCTTTCTCTGCCACTGGAACTTTGAGGGGGGGGAGTTGGAATGTGGGAATTGGTATGGTGTGGCGGAGCCCACGGTTGCTTGTTTGTTGCGGGCCTCTCCCCGTAGGGCCTTGACGGCCGGGTATCGAGGCACCGGCGGGAAACGTTGGGGACCGACTAAGAGTCAGACACTGAAGTCAG